GGCCAGTGGTCGTTGTGTTGTATTATAGTGAGAACTAACTGTTGTACTTTAAACCCTAACCTTTAGGTCGGGGGGTGTCAAAGTTTGGTTCAGGGGCCACATACGACCTTATTAGCTGAGAAGTGGGTCGGACCAGAACAATCGTAACATAATGACCTCAATGACCCGCTTCATTTCCTGCAAAAGTATATTAGTAATTATTCATATTTAATAAAATACAATTTGACAAAACATCACCAACAAAAATTCTCTCAAAATTCATCAGGTGGACCAGATTGAACCCCCTAGTGGTGCGGTTTTGGCCCGCAGGCCATATATTTGACACCACAGTTTAAGTCTTTAGCTTTAGTCTATTAAGGGTCCAAAGAAACCCTCATGTACTTCATACGGAAGAACCAGTGACCTTCTTATCTTAAGGCAGTTGCACTGACCACTGCACCACCGTATGACCGTATATGTACTTCTTTAAAGAGTTAAAAAAAATATAAAAATAGTAAATGATAGTAAATTGAAGTAAATGAAAAAAGCAAGTCAAGTCAATTTTAGTAACTAATCTATTAATAAATTTTTTTTTTTTTTAAAACCATCCTTGTCCCCCGTCTCGGGGTCTTGACCTGGTATTTGACCTCAGGACGTTGTGCGTAGGACAGATGCGAATGTCCATACTCAGAAATGTGGACACTGGTAGGTCTAAATTTAGACTCTGTGATCTGACCTCAGGATTCTCCCAGAATTCCGTTGCCTATATTTGGACCAGTAACAGCAAAGAACTGTTGTTCTCTAACAGAGTGACTGGAACTGTTTTTTTCCCATGCATATTAACGCCCCCTGTCTGTCGGGGCAGTCCCACACACACACACACACAGGTGATGCCTCGACCCCATCATATAAATCAATAGCTAATAAGCTAACAGCTAGGTCTAGGCAGCCACCTATGTCGCCCCCCGGGGGTGAGTGCATTTATTAGAAATCAATATTCCGATGGGTGCGTTCCCCGCGCACCCGCCGTCTATCAAAGATCAATTGCTGAACGGTGAATGCTGATTGGCCGATGCTACTGACCCCTGCTGTCAATGCTGAGACGGGAGGTCAATAAGGAGGTCAGGATGCAGCTCCTGCTCTGCTTCAGTGCGTGGGTATTTTCCAGTTAATATAGTAGCGCAGTCGGAACGCCTGTCATATGAGATGAGCTCAGTACTGCCTCACAGTGGTGGCAAACAGAATCTGTGTTTTATCTGGATAACATTATAAAACATTCAGTTGAAATAAGGGATGTCGGATATTAACTTTTTGCCGATATCGTCCAACCACCTAATTTCCGATTCCGATATATGCAGCCGTTTGGGTTAAATGCAGTGTCACGTGACAAAAATTCACTTTCGATTAAAAAATATTTTTTGGTCACATCATTTGGGGCGAAACCCGGGGCATTGTGTTAACGGGTTTTCATTATCTGAGCAAAAACCGATAACGATTCCTACATAATTAACATAATTATGCTAATATCGACCACTGATGTACACAGTAGAACACAGACACTGACAGCCAATCAGATCGTACAGATCCGTCTGTTGTCAAAGAAACATGTTTATTTTTTCCGAAGTTCTATTTCCGATGAAACACGCTGATTCTGTTATCTCCACCGACACTCCACGGAAAAAAAAAAATCGGGCTTTTTTTTTTTTTTTTTTTTCCTTCTGAACGTCC